AATGCAGAATCCTGGGCCCTAGCCCAGACCTGCTGTGTCGGAGGTTGCATTTTAACAAGCTCCCCTGTTGATTCATGTGTGCTAATTATAGAAGCAAAGTGTTCTCATGGTACATCTAAAGTCCACAGTGGTATTTTTTCCTCACCTTACTTGTCCTCCGTAATTTTCAGAGCTAATAGAAAAAGGCTTTTCAAAGCACTTGCTAGCTTTATTTTTTTTCTTCCCAAATACCTGGATTCTGTCTTGGATAACCACATTTCTTCACTGCTCTGCTTCCTATGTATCTTTCCAAATCACTGATTTTAAGGAGGTCAGTAAAGGAAGAGAAAAGTTAAGTCACAGAACAATTTTTTAAAATGCAAATGACATCAGTTATAATCCTCTCAAGGTTGGAAGCCAAGTCTTCTAAGTTAGCAGTTCCTTACATTTTAGGGGTGGAGGTGGGGTTTGGAGCCAAAAGATCCTTTGCAGAATCTGGTGAAAGCCATAAACAGTTTTCCCAGAAAATTCCACACATGCCCACAAACTCAGTGGTCAGATAGCATCCAGGACTCATGATCTGCTCTCCTCCAAGCCCATCTTTGCCTTTCTGTTCCCTCCACCCCAGGTTAGGAACCTGTGTGCAGTCTTGTAACCAAGAAATCAAGAGTCATTTCTCACAGGCACATTTATTATTTGAATGCCATGGTCATTCCTAACACGGTCCTCCAAAGAATGTCTCGGACTTTAGAGGTTGAAGGTCACAAGAAGGTTATGACACTGTGTTTTTTCCCACTGTGACTTGTTTGCCAAGCCGTGTCTTCAACAATGTGATTGTTGCAAATATGAGATCTGTGAGGACTTAGTTAATAGATGTTCCTGCACATGCACGTGGCTGTTCCACAAGGTCCCTGGGGGCACATCTACTTCAAGCCCTGTCCCAAGTCCACGCACAGGCTGGACTGGACTGGGCTCCTGCAGTTGAAAGGCTCAGTCAAAACATGTGTTCTCGGTGTTTGTATTTCAGGAGACGTGAAGACCGTGTCCGCAAAGGGCAAGGCCGCCTCTGCCGGTGAGTAAGACCTGGGCCCTGCAGTGACTGGAGCGGAAAGGGCTGGTTATGGTCAATGGAATAGATAACGGCCCCCTAGCCTGGAGCCAGGGCGTGCATGAGCCACCCAACTCTACAGATCTTCCCCAAAAGCCTTCAGTGGGAGCGGGGTGGAGGGCGGGAGAGGGGCTGGCTGGGGGCTGGAGGAGGGCTGCTGAAGGAGCTTAGCTCAGGAGATGTGCTTATGGGCCACACTGCCCCTGCTGGGTGCCCATTGTTTGCCCTTAGCTGCAGAGTCTGCCAACATGGCAAGAGCAGCACAGCAAGGCTACTGTTGTGTCTTACAAACCCCTCCCCTCCCCCCACCCACACGGGCTGCAAGGTGACACTAAGACCGCACACTTCTCCAGTCCTTTACACTTTCCTCACTTGCTCCCATAATCTTGTGAGAGAAGCAGATCAAGGGGTATCAGCCCATTTTAGATACTAAAAACTAAAAACACTTTCACTGAAACTAAAAAATAAATAAAAATAAAAAGCTTCCTGACCACCCCTTAAGAGCTGAGTGCAGTTCTAGGCACTGTGGGGATTACAAAGAAAGAGCCATGTGAACTGAGACATGAAGATGAGAATTATTCAGCTTTGGGCATAATAAAATGCAGGAGGTTGTAGCAGATCCACATTCATAACCAAGAATTTTAAGCCTGGTCGTATCTGCTAATTACTCTACATGCCTCATTTCATTCAACATCCATCTCATGAAGAATGGTCAGCTTTGAACTCTATTTTCTAAAAAATGAAACAGAGGTTAAGTTACTTTCTCTGGGTCACACAGCTCAAGGCCAGGATTGTCAGACCTCCACTCTTCGCCAGCCACAGCCCTGTGTTTTTTCCAGGAGCCACACAGGAACCTGAAAGCCCCACTCACATTCACTCAGGCCCACAGGAAGGCACCAAAAGTTGGAGAATTTGGAGGGAAGAGGGCAAGAGCTGCCTGCATTCACCTTACCCTTGCCCTCTCTTCCACAGACTTCTACGGCTACAACCGCCACCGTGGGGGCGGCAGTAGCAGCGGCAGGGGCGCCGGCAGCGGGGTCTCCGGTGGAGGCAGCAAGGGCTCGTGGGGGGCAGCGCCAGCCTGGTGCCCCTGCGGCTCCTGCTGCAGCTGGTGGAAATGGCTGCTGGGCCTGCTCCTCACCTGGCTGCTGCTCCTGGGGCTGCTCTTTGGCCTCATCGCTCTGGGTATGTGGTGATGGCAGCCCCGCTGCCTGTTCCGAAGGGCAAGAATCAGTGAATGTCCCAAGCGTCAGGGGCCAAGGGTCCCGAGATCATGGGTGCAGACCCCATGTTACTGCAGATGAGAAAACTGGGCCTCCAGGAGGCATCTGGCCAAGGTCCCATGGCTGCTCCGTGGCTGAGCTGGGACTCTAAGGCAGCTCCTCGGTCCTGGCCCCGGGCCCCAACCCCGTGGCATCCTGCTCTAAGCACCTGGCTGCCCTTAACAATCAGGCCAGGCCTTTCATAGCTTTTTTACTTTCCACGTTCTGTTGGCTCTCACACCAGCTCCCTGGGAGAGAGGGCCAGCTTTGTGACCATCTCAGATGATGGCCAGGCGTCTTCAAGGCTCGGTTCCGAATTTGAGTAGCTCATCCTGCTGGTAGCCACGACAGACTGTCTCCCCCAAAATATGCCAACAAAATGTCCCCATGGCATGAAGAAGCCGCCATGGACTCCAGAGCCCCCTTTTCAGGCTCCCCTGGAAGCTTGGAAGGCACTGGCTCGGGGGCCCCTGTGCTGACACTGCCTCCGTGTGTCCATTTCAGCCGAGGAGGTGAGGAACCTGAAAGCACGTGTGGACGAGCTGGAGAAGGTCAGGAGCAGCATGCTGCTTTACAACAAGAAGATGGAGAGGACCAGCCGGGACTCCGTGCAGGGTGTCGCGCCGAGGCTGGGCGAGGGTGTCGGCAAATCTGGGCTTGATGGCTACAGTCAAGAAGACCTATGGCAATTCATGAGGGGCAAGCTGATGGCAGAACAGGAAAACGGTGAGCACATCGCAAGGCAAAGGGCCAGTGGCTCCCGGTCCCGGCTCCTGTATGTGGAGTGGTACCCATTTAGGGTACTCTCAAGCTCCCCTCATTCAGCCCTCTTGACAGCCCTGGGAGGGAGGGAGGGAGGGAGGACCCGTATTGCTATCCTGTTTTACAGCTAGTAAAACTCAGACCTGGGGAGAATTGCCCATGATCAAGATCACACAACCTGCACACTTTAGAATCAGATTGTTAGTCCTAGCCTCTGTTTCTTCCTACTGTACCACGGTGATCCCCTTCAAATGTGTGTGTGCGTGTGTGTATGTGTGTGTGACACAGAAGATGTGCGGCTAACTCAGGCTTTGCTGTCTCTTGTAGGAAATCTCCGAGGAAGCCCTGGCCCTAAAGGTATCACAGTGGATGGAGCCCTTTCCCTGCTCTCATTTCCTGCACTTGGAGCTGGGTTTTCTGGGAGGATCGGAAAACTTCTCTTTTTTCCAAATTGAAGGATAAGCAGTGGAAAGATCTTACAGAATCTGTTGGGAGGGTTGAGAATTGGCTCTACAGTCAGAATATCTTAGAATGAGAAGGAAACTAAGGCATCATCTAAGAGAGGCCGAGTGAAGTGCCCGAGAGACGCAGACGGAGACCGCGAGGAAGCTACACCACATGCCAGCTCACCTTGAAATGCCATTTACACGCTGTCAGCTGGCCTTAAGATACTAGGAGAGAATGGCCCTTGGGTTCTCACCCCATCTCACAGTTTTCATGTCTTTCTGATTTTAGGTGACATGGGAAGTCAAGGCCCTAAAGGTAAACAAAACCTGGAAAACTTTACCTTAAATATTAGTGAGGGTTGACAGTTTGAAGCAATCAGCAAGTGTCAGAAAACGCACCTCCCACTCCCCTGGCCATGTCCCCTTGTGGTAGGACCGTGAATTGCAGAGCAGCCTGCACACCCTCGGGCTTTTGGGACCCTGGGGCTTCATGACAGAGCCAGGCTACATCTCTGGGGCAGCACGGTGGCGCTGGCCCCTTCTCAGGGGTTCCCACGCCAGGGACCCTGAGGAGGCCTGCATCCAGGGCCTGCATCTCCCCCAGATGCAAAGGGCAGCCTGAGGGCCTGCTACTGCACAACCCCCGGGGAGATTTTGAGAAATACAGATTCCTGGGCCCTGCCAGGAATCAAATGCTCTGGGGACGGACTCCCTCCCCCCAGGTTAATTCTGATGAACCAGGTCAGGAATCACCGATCCAGGTGAGAAGCCTGCTCTCAGGGGTTTTAGCCCAGGTAGGCTGGGAATAAAAGCCACCAGTCAGGAATGGAGCACCTGGAGGGGGGGAATTCAGTAGGAGCAACACCACCTGCCTTCAGGGGAAGTAGGGGCGTCTGGCAGGGAGACAGGACATAGTCACAGGAAAAGGTGCTCCTCAGTGTTGGTTAGCTGGGGGACAGTCACCTGCTAACTTGGGTAGCACAGTGTCGCTGTAGGAAACTGATACATGTCCTCAGAAAAGTGGTCTGACAATCACTGGGACAGGCCTAGGGGTGGGAGGAAGACCTTTCCAATCCCAGTGACCACAGAAGTGCCCCTCGATCTAGCTGAGTGGGAGTCTCAAGATTTGGGGTATGTGGGAATTGCTGGAAGATTCTGGGCTCTACTCCCAGAGCCTCTGAGGAGCAGGTGTGGGTGGGGCCGTGAGCCTGTGGCCTGGATCAACCCCGGGTGGTTCTGAGGCCAGGGCTGCACAGACCATTCTGAGAATCACTATTGGGAATGACAGGGTCACCCCTCTCTCCTTCCCAGGGGATCCCGGTGCAGGAATTGGGGTTCCTCCACTTGGTGGCCCTCAACTTCAGGATTCCCTGCACCGACACGCACACCCTGGGTCACCGCCTCAGCCCCCCTTCCTCAAGGCTCCAGCTTGCAGGTCCCACACCCCTCCTGACTATAATATAGGATGCCCAGTCAAATGTGAATTAATATAAACACTAAATCACTTGTCACTATAAGTAAAAGTTTATTCAATGTTTTCCTGCAATTCAAACTTAACTGAGAGTCCCGTATTTTTACTTGCTAAATTTGGCGATCCCACCTGAATTGCACTGGTGGCTCCTTAGGTGACCGGCCTGAGTCCTCTGGCTGACTTTTTTCTCTCTGTTCCCACAGGAGATCGAGGGTTCCCTGGGACTCCAGGTGCGTAGCCTCTGATGGTTCTGCTGAGGTTGAAGGCTGCCCGATCCTTGCTCCTGGGGTTTGGGAGGAAAGCAGGGCTGAGCTATTCTTGTGTGTCCACAGGTATCCCTGGGCCCTTGGGCCACCAAGGTCCGGAGGGACCAAAGGGACAAAAAGGCAGCGTGGGTGAGAACCGCTTTTCTGTTCACTTATTCCCCTCATTCCCTCATTCATTCATTCATTCATTCATTCAGTAAATGTTCCTTAAGTGCCTGCTGTGTGCCAGACCCTGTTTTAGGTGCTGGGGAGGTGTGGTGAACAAAACAAAACCCCTGCCTACTTTTGGGTGGAGATAAACAATAGACATGATAAATAAGTGAAGTACATAGAGGGAGGAAGTGGCTCGTGAAATGGGAACACAGAGCCCAGTGGAGCCTTGGGAGGGCTCAGGGGTAATTGAAAATAGGGCCGGCAGGGAAGGCCTTGCTGAGAAGGTGCCATTTGAGCAAAGAAGTGAAAGTGGGGCGAGAGCCAGGCCTGAGGAGATCTGGGGGAACCCTCTAGGCAGAGGGAGCAGCTACACGCCCTGGGGCAAGCGTGTGCCCGTGGGTCCAGGAGCTTGGGGGGGAACAGGAGGAATGGGGGCGGGTGCTGGAGCCCACTAACAAGGCAGAGAGTCGAGAGGGAGGGACCTTGGAGGCCTTGCGAGGGTTCAGTGAGTAGAGAAGCCATTTGCAGGTTGGGGCAGAAATGGGACACGATCCACTTGCCTTTTCAAACTCTCTGGCTTCTGCTTTGAGTCTGGGCTACAGGAGAGAGAGAGAGGTAGGGAGTTGGGTGTGGACGCTCCAGGCAGGTGTCCCGCCAGCGAGGTGCTGCCTGGGGCGTCCTTCGCAGCCCTAACTGAGATGGACATTCCTGTCTTTAGGAGAGCCTGGCATGGAGGGACCCATGGGCCAGAGAGGGCGAGAAGGCCCCATGGGGCCTCGCGGTGAACCAGGGCCTCCTGGGTTTGGAGAGAAAGGAGACAGAGGTAAGAGGTGATTCCTTCACCAGGAGGGTTAGCTGCGTCCACACTTCCTTCTTACATCATTCTCCCTCTCTCTGTCTTTTACTAGCATTAGCTGAGCACCTGCCTTGAGCCAGGGGCTGTGCTGGGCCCTGAAGAGACTGTGGTCTAATGAGGGGGCGTGGGCTGTGCTGTGCGTTCAAGCCTGGGGCTAAGACCCCTGCAGTCTGAGTCCACAGAACATGGTCACAGGGAGAAATGATCTTCCCGGGAGGGGGTGGGGACGAGTCAGGGCTGAGGTGGAGAGCTCAGGGCAGGGCCTGAAGGAAGGCAGAGTGGCGTGCCTGTCCTGGAGCCTCTCATGACTGGAAGGAGGCGGGGAAAGCTTCAGACACAAGTCCAGCCCTGGAGGGAGCTGGGAAGATGTTGCATTAGATACTTAACCGTGAGCCTGCTTTCATCAGGGGAAATGAAGCACAGACACCAGAAATCCTCTCAAGGCCAAAAGATTCACTCTCTCTTAAAAATATTGCTCAACCAGGCAACAAATACTTATTGAGCACCTACTGAGTGCCAGACTTCATGGAATATAGACTCTGGAGGTAGAAACTGATTCTTGGCCTCATGGAGGCCCCAGTGGATCAGAGACCACTGGCGGGGTGGGAAGTGTTCCCTCCACCCTGCAAACGACACCACTGGGCTGGGTGGGCAACCAAACTGCGGTACTCTCTCAAAGTGCTTATTTCTCCCCAGGGGATGCTGGTCAACCGGGCATTCAAGGCCCACCTGGTGTCCCAGGTTCTGTGGGTCCCAAAGGTAAGTCAGGTACCCAGACGGTACCCAAGTTTGCCACAACCAGGATGGATCTCAGAGATCCAGGCACTGGGATCCCAGATGGTCCTAACCCACGGTCCCAGGCCTGTGTGCGGTCGACGGGCCCACAGAGGGTCCCCCCACAAAGAAATCCCTGGGCATCAGGATCGGGGCTGTATTTTTGGCTCTGTGGTGGATTTGGGAGTCACGTTTCCATCTCTCTTTTTGTATTTTTTTCCGGTACGCGGGCCTCTCACTGCTGTGGCCTCTCCCGTTGCGGAGCACAGGCTCCGGACGCGCAGGCTCAGTGGTCATGGCTCACAGGCCCAGCCGCTCCGCGGCATGTGGGATCCTCCCGGACCGGGGCACAAACCCGTGTCCCCTGCATCGGCAGGCAGACTCTCAACCACTGCGCCACCAGGAAAACCCTCCATCTCTCTTTGATGGCCCTGTTATGTGGCCCCTAAGTGGGGGGATGGATCTGGAAATCAGAAGTCAGACAATTTCCTTGCTGGCTAGGGCCGAGATGCAAACGTTTGAGAGCAATATGTCTGGACAAGCCAGGCAAATGGGGCCTTCTCACAGTGTGATGCCCATCTGGTCCACTCTCCTCCCTGCCCCTGCCCCTACCCCAGCTCAAATGTTTGACCGGGAAGGAGCAAAGGGTCTCTTGATCCCAGCAGCTACAGTTTCCTGCCTAAGGAGGACTTTGCACTGGGATCACTCCTGGACCCACTGGCTCTGGGGTCCAGCCCTCATCTGGGGGTGCGTGCCCCACCCCTTCCACCTGCCACTCACCATGGGGTCAGTGTTCCTGGCCTGTACCCGACCCATCTGATCATCGTTGTCGTGTTGTCCTCCTCAGGTTCTAGCGGTCTTCCTGGCCCACAGGGTCCCCCAGGTCAGTAGCCTTCTTCTCATAGATAGATGCTATTTCTGGGGAAAAGAGAGGGATGTTAAATGGAGAAACAAACATTTTTAAGCAAATGAAGCAATTATAAAGAGAGCCTGTAAGAGACACAAAACGCACATCTGCACGTGTGTCGCCTGCGGCTGAGGCTGGTACCGATGGGTGCCCTGAGATCTGTTCTGACCTGACTTGGGGCATGAGGCCCTCCAGCAGCTTCAGCAGCAGGCAGCTCCCAGCCTGCCTTGATCTGAGCAAAGCGCCTGCCTCACCTGGTCCCCTGTGGGCCAGAGCTTGTCCTGCTGTCCTGGGAGTCTTGAGCTGCAGCCCACTCTGTGATGCAGGCCAACGTCTCTGCCAGGGTCCCATGAGGGGTCCTCATCCCCGGGCCTGGTAATCTCAGGGACAAGGAACCTGCACCAGGACGATGTAGCAGGGACATGGGGAGGAGTCTGTGAACAGCAGCCCTTGACTTTTACTCCAGGGAGTGTGTGTGCCTATGTGTGTGTGTACATTTGTGTGCCAAATAGGTGTGTGTACGTGTTGTGTGTATGTGTGCCGTGTGCATGTCCATCCCTTCCAAAGCTGGGGACACTCATCCACCCATGTGGTTTCCTCTGTGTGCAGGCTCTGTAGGTCGCCAAGGGCTCCGAGGTGAAGTGGGACTCCCTGGCATCAAAGGTAAGCTGGAGGAAGGGGTTAGAGGGAGGGGACATCACCTTGTAGATGCCACTCACTTAAGAAGGAGGTCTGGGGGACTTCCCTGGCTGTCTAGTGGTTAAGACTCCATGCTTCCAACGCAGGGGGCACGGGTCAAACCCTGGTCAGAGAACTAAGATCCCACATGCTGTGTGGTACAGCCAAAAAAAAAGGAGGAGGTCTGGGGGGACAGGGTTTGGTGGACATGCCAACAGCCTGTGCAGGCCAACAGGTGCATGAGGGGAAGGGGCAGTCAGGACTGTGGAGGAGCCTGTCTTCAGACACAGACTCTGCCCCTTGTTGGTCGTCCCTACCAAGGCTCTTTACACTAAGGTGTCCATTTCCTTATCAGGTGACAAAGGACCTATGGGACCACCAGGACCCAAAGGTATGCTTCTCCTGCTGCTGCCCGGACAACACCACAGCCTGCCGACTCCTGGGAACCCAGATGTGACCCCTGTCCCGGTGTCCAAAAACCCATATGACTTGGCTCCTGGACCCTGGGGCTGGGAGGGATCTGAGATTCTAGTCGAACCTCAGGGAAACTGAGGCACAAAGAGGAGAAACAGTACCAGCGTCACAATGCTCGGGGTGGCCCTCGGGGTGGCATCAATGCAGCACTGAGGCTTCTCCCCTCTAGTATGGTCCCCCTCTTGCCCACAGCACCCACTGGTGTGACAGCAGGGCCTGGGTCAGTTTGTGGGTGGGCCCTGACCCAGAAGAGATCTATCTAGTGTGCCTTTTGGGCTTTGTTAATGCTGAGTTCTTGCCAACACTCAGCTGACAGCAGCTTACAGGTGCAGTGGGAACCGTTCTGCAGCCCGGGGTCCCTCTTACTGGGTGAGGTTCTTTTCCTTGCTCATGACTGATGCTTGTTTCCTCCACCCCCCACCCCTGCCCCATTTTTATTTTAGGTGACCAGGGTGAGAAAGGACCCCGAGGCCTCACAGGTCAGTCCCACACAGGAATCTACTGTGATCCACTAAAGACTTTTTGTAAATCCATTGGGTACTGGAGATGGGGGGGAAAAATACAGAAGTAGGAGACAGAATCTCTGTCTAAAACCTTCAGGGGACTTGCAATCTAGAAAAAAGCAGGACAAGATAAAATAAAGCACTGAATGGAGTATAAGCCAGCACCAACATGTATGGTCCAGACAGTAAATGTTTGGGGCAGAAAAGGGAGCTTATGATTATCTCTGATTCTTTTGAAGAATTGAGTTGGGAAAATTAAGCTCTTCCCTAAGTGGCAGAAAGTTTGCCCTACTTGTATCCACTTACCTCCTGCCAACTTGCATGATTAAAAAGAATTTGACAGTACTAGTGCTTTGGCTACAAGGGCCAGCTTTTTGTTGCCAAGGAAATAAGACTCATACACTGGCCCCTTCAGACCAGGCGTGGCCTCTGGGCCAGTCCGTGCCTACTGCCAGGGGTGGGAGGCCTGACTTTAGAATCAAAGCTGACGCTGTGTCTCCAGCCTCTGCTTGGCACACCAAGCTCCTCTGGTTGGGGAGGTGGCAGCCTTGGGGGTGGCCGGGAGGGTAGAGTGTTCTACCACTGTCAAGCTCCTCCAAACACCTAGTCCATTTCCTTTGCAGGCGAGCCCGGCTTGAAAGGTTTACCTGGTGCTGTGGGCGAGCCCGGGCCTAAAGGAGCAATGGGTGAGTGTCTCACAGCAGCAGACATCATGGGTCTGCCCCGCCACAGTCATCATCATGGCCCTAGAGTTGAGATTCTCCTAGAGCTGCATCTCCCATTCTCTAATCTACCCACCCCCGGTAGAGGCTCCATTTACAGGCTGTTCCTGGATCTGGGCATCCCTCTTGGGGCTCAGAGAGCTGCTGCTGTCTCTAACAGTTTCTTACTGCTCTGGAGGGGCTTGGCAGGATATGGTCCATCTGCCCCGGTTCCTGCCTCTAAGACCCTCAGGCCCTTGGGGAGGAGAAACAAGGGCTGAGGTTCTTTGGAACCCACAGAATTCCAGGCACAGCCCTGATACTCCAGGGTTCAGCCCTTTGGCTGACCCTTACTGAGGGACCTGTCAGCCAGGACAAGGAAGCTGGCTAAAGACCCCCCACGGGGCCAGGCATTTGACACCACATCCCAGAAGGGTCTAAGCCCCACCAATGGAGATGTGGTGCATTCATGATCTCATTCATTAACAAAGTGTTAGGAAGCGCTGATGGTGTGCAGGATGCTGTGCTGGGCGAGTAAGATGCTTTACCTCCCTCGAGGGGAGATAAAGCTTGTGTGAGATGACAAGGGCCATGAAAGGTACAGGGTGCTATGCGGAAACAGTAGAGAGAGAAGTTTCTTCCAACCGGAAGGATGAAGGAGATGCCTTTTCAGATGGTTCTAAAAAGTAAAGAAGATTTTAATCACATCAATTTAGAGAATGCCACACAGAGACATGAGTGAGGAAAGACAAAGAGGTGGGAAAAAGCAGGTGGGAAGAGCTGGCCCCAGAAGGACATCACTGTGGACGGAGGTTAGGGTGATGCCTACAGCAGAAGAGACAAGATCTTGGAGAATCTTGACCTCCAGGACCTGGACCAAATGAGGCTGACGTGTATTGAGCATCTGGTGTGTGCGAGTCCTGTGCCATCGATGCGGGAGATGCAGTGGGGGCCGTGGAACAGTTCTCAGCAGGAGAAGAGGCATTACTGGTTTAGGAGGAGAGGGCAGGAAAGCTGCACCCTGCAGGTGTGACAACAACAGGGCTTCTTCCACGTCTGATGGCTGCAGGAGGGGATGCATGGGTGCCCCACCTAGGAGACAGCTTGTGAGGCTATAACGCAGTGGAGGGAGGGAGTCCCAGAGTAGCTCCCAGAGTCACTGATGAACTTGCATCTGCTTTCCTAGGACAAGCTGGCCCCGACGGACACCAAGGCCCAAGAGGTTGGTCGCTCAGCTGCTCTCCTCACTCCCCCGGCCCACCACTGCCCCCCCCCGCCCACGTCCCAGCGCTCAGCCCCCAGCCCCCCGCCCCCCCATCACAAGGCCAGAGGGCGTACATCACAGGGAGGTGTGCAAGGTCCCGGTCTCATCCCCCTCCTCCCTTCCACCTGCCAGCAAGTTACTCAGTAAAACCCCAAGAGACCATTGGCTCCGATGCGTTGGCTGGTCAGCTTGCCTAAAAGGCAAACGTTTCCACGTTGGTCATGCTTTCTCTAGGGGAACAAGGTCTTCCAGGGATGCCCGGAATCCGGGGCTTACCAGGACCTTCTGGAGACCCAGGAAAGCCAGGTAACAGAGTGGGAAGCGGGTGCTGGCCATGGTGTGTGTGTGTGTGTGTGTGTGTGTGTGTGTGTGTGTATGTGTATGTACCTTCCTTAATCCATTTTCCTCTAGCAGCTCATTAGGAAAATGCCACAGCTGCTGGCTAGAGCCGGGCACAGCGGCTGTGAGTCCTGACACCTGAGTCACCAAGTCTGGCAACTTGGAAAAGAGAGATCAACACTGAAAGCAAGGAGTTCTAGAAAGGGGCAAGGAGTCTCCTAAAAATGGCAGTTTATCACCACCTCAGTGTCTGGGTCCCCTGTGGACCCCCTTGGGCCGTGCCTGGACCCTCGCCAATAGCCACCAGCCTGGGGAGATAAGCCGTTGTTAGGGTCTCCACCAAAGGCCCAGCAGGAGCAAGATCCTCAGGGCTGCAGGAGGAACAAATCAAAACAAGCCAAGAAAGCCGGGAGGACAAGGTGGCAATCCTCAGGGGCCGATGAGGAACAGGGGGCCTCTGGGCTCCTTTGGTGGGCGCACAGATGGAGAGCACCCAGGAGGGAACCTGGGGGCAGCATTAGGGGTCAGTGAGTGTGTGAACTTTTGGGGTTTGTAGCTCTCAGACGCCAAAGGGTCTTGAGCCCAAATGGGCTAAGAACCATCCCCTGATGGAGCAGTGAGTCAGAAAACTGCTCTCATCCAGGGCTGTGGGGACCCTGGAGTCCGGCTGCCCCAGACACGGGGTTCGTCCTCCTGCGCCCACCAATCCCTTCCGCCCGCTCCTGCTGCTGAGGGGTCGGCTCCTCCGCCCTTCAACTCTCCTCTCATGTCTTCTACTCTCCGTAGGTCTCACAGGACCCCAAGGACCTCAGGGTGAGTCATCGGGTCACTGCCACTTCAAATGCCGCCGCCAAGCCTCCCAATCCCGGCATTCAGCAGATGCGTCTCCAGTCACCTTAGTGCTTCCTCTCCTTCCCTCATTCCCCCAGCAAAAATGGGTTCAGGTTATTTTGATGTGAGTCTTGAGAAACACCTTAGGAAGGACAAATATGCACAGAACAATCTAGAAAGCCATTCTAGGAGAGATGAGGTTAGATCCCGTGTGAATGCTGTCTGCCTGAGCCTGCTCCCCTTTGGTGCAGGGACCCCCAAGAGGAGGCTCCAGGCCCAGGAGTCCCATTAGCCCCACAGAGGCCCACATCCCCTGTGGCACGGTAGGGAGTGGGCACTCATCTCATGCAGAAGGGCCCGGCCTCCCTGGGACAGTCTCAGTGTCAAAGCCTGTCCGATAGTTGGACAGTGTGCACCCACTTGGATTTGAGAAGCTGTCACCACACCAGCCCCAACTCCTAAAGGAAATTAGGCAAAGATGGAAAATAAAATCAAACAGCATCACCCCTCAACAGTTGAGTGCACAGGGATATCTTTCAAATGCTCCCTGGTGGAGTTGTGGACAAAAGCAAGAGGGGGTGTTGCATCAGATACAGGAAGCCCAGCCCCTACTCCCCCAGGCTGCAGGGACGGTGGGTTACAATGGCCGCTTTGCAGGCTGCAGGGGACTCATCACCCAGAGGGGCTGGGATCCCCCAAAGCTGGACCTGTGAGCCTCTGCCTCCAGCCCAGCTGTTGCTCCATTTCCTAGAGAGGGAGAAGGGTTCAGAGCAAGAGGCTCCCTCAAGGGAGCTGGGCTAAGGTGGAAGGTTGAGCCAGGTGGGTCTGCAGGTTTCAGTCAGCAGTTGTGGCCTTGCCAGTGACAGAGCACCAGGTGCTACCACAGGGGGTCTGGAATTGCTGGCCCTCAATCATCCTGACTGACTTGTTTTCAATCACACCAGGACTTCCTGGGACCCCCGGCCGACCAGGGGCTAAAGGTAAGTGATTTTCCAAATTAGACAGTCACTGGTCATTTTGGCAGGAGGGGAGGCATTGGCAGGAGGGAGGTCCCTCTGTGGCCAGAGCCTGGATCAATAGTGGCATCTAGTGGCTTCAGTGGAAGGCTGTGAGGCTGGGGAGCCAGGGATTCTTCTGACCAATTAAGCCCTGAGTCCTCAAGCCCCACCCTTCCCCCCACAATCCAGAGCCTCGCTTTGGTGCCTGGTTGTGTCCAAGCCCTCGATGGAGGAGGATCTGCAAGGGTGCTGTCCCCACCGCTGACTCTGTAATGCCCCCCACGATGCTCTGTCCCCTCACTTAGGCGTGGTCCCCCCATGATGTGCCTCTTCCCTGGGACAAGTGTTATGGTCCACACAGGCCTCAGTGTAACGGGGACACTGCCACCCCCTTTCTGAGAGGGGGCTTTGATGCAGGCAGGGAGGAGCCTCTCAGATGTTACTAAGAGGCCAAAGTCAGAGTTCTCAGAGGGGCATCCTCAGGACTCAGACCCTTACGTGTAGGGCGACATTCGCATCTGGTTCTGGGCCATCAGACCCCAACCCTGAGCCAGTCCAGGAAAGGGGCTGCTCAGGGACGGTCCTTCTCCTTCTGTCCCTGTGACCCCACGTTCCTGAACCCTGATGTTCGCTGGAGCTGCCCTCTGTCACTGTCACCTTGGGGGGAGACCTGCTTTCCAGAAACTATGGCTAACAACAGGTTGGGCCAAGGAGTTCTTTCAAGAACATCCCAAGCAGACACATCTCTGGGTCCACAGATCTGCTCATGGATTGATGGCATCTTTAGTAAAAGATCAGAGGCTTGGGGATTCTCGAGGAGAGACACCCTGCCCTTCTCCAGGGCCTGTGACTTTCTGTCCAGCGTGCACAGAGGTGGACATTGTACCTGACACTGGATTGTGTTCCAACAAAAAGAAAGTCAAGTGCTTTCTCTTGGCCTTGACCTCGAGGGGCTGGCAGATTGCAAGATTCCCCAAAGGGAGAAATCAGTATCACCCCTCAGTGTGTGGATGACTGAATTGCCCACAGGCCTTGGGAAATGACAAAAAGGTCCCAGAAGAATCTCCAGTCAAGGGTTTTTCCATCCTCTACTTCACTCACTTGGTTCTGCAGAATGTGGATTTCCATCGCGACAGCCTTGGGAAAGTGTGAATCTGACATTCCCTTCTTGGAAGTCCTCCATGCACATTCGCATTTTCAACCCTCTAAGACACAAGGCAGAGAAGAGATCTGTTAACCTTTACATGACTCGGAGTTTCCCAGGCTACAGAACCCCCTCTTGACTCTGTGCAGACCCTACTACTGTCCCAGGGAATTAGCACCTGAGGGGCACTGGGAACCAGGCTCTACCCCGCAGGCTCACTGCCTCTGCTCTTTGACCTCTCAGTGCTTTTTGCACCTAAAGCAATTCCTAGTAAGAGCCTGCAGTGCCCAGTGTGGGAGGAGATAGAGTGTGGGAGGGGGAACGACCCCTGAGTCAGCTCATTCTGGCCTCACCACAAGGCAAACTCTCCAACATCCACAAACGAAGCCCCTTCGCAGAGTCCCAGCTTCTTCCAAAAGCTAATGTGGGCGAAGAAGGTTGATGCTCGAGCCTCCAGGGTCTCCAGCGCAGAAATTGGTGCTTAATGCATCCTGTATGCTCCCCTCCAGTTCATCAAAATGCCTTCAGCCTGAGGGTTAGAAGCCCAGGAGTGGGTCTCAAATGCAATCAGAAGCCTTGAAAATGATTCATTGAGCCACTAATTGATCCTGGGAATAACCACTCTCCTTTGCCTCCCCTCCCAGGTGAACCAGGAGCTCCAGGCAGGATCGTGACTTCAGGTAGGTAGACCCTGCACTGTGTACAGGGCGTCCGCCCTGGCTCTGCCTCAACACCCTGCAAGTCCGCGGGCTCCGTGCTTTGGGCAAGGTGCAGTGCTGAACTCTTCCAGTCAGAAGTGAGGAGGGTCGGGGGATTTCAGACGTAATACTGGCCCAACCTGGCCCACAGCCTGGCCTGGGTCCCCTCTGAGCGAGGAGAGTGGGGCTCAGCGTTCAACGTGCCTTCTGTTTTCAGAGGGATCATCGACTCTCACTGTCCCAGGTCCCCCGGGACCTCCTGGAGCCATGGGACCTCCAGGACCTCCAGGTGCCTCAGGTCAGTCTGTTTTCTTGCTTTGCCCCAGATCAGCATCAGGCCTTGGTTGCATCTGACTATAGCAGCATTCGCTCAAATCCTGAAACCCGGGCCGGAACCCGGGGAAGAGTAGGAAGGGGCTGAGAAAGCCCCTCCCAGACAGCCTGGTGAGCCCTAATCACTCCCCAGCACGTATCCTAAGCCCTGCATGGCATTGCTTTACTAGGTCCCCGCAGTACCGTTGTAGGCTCGAGCAGGTAAATGACACGCCTAAGGTCACACGGATAAGAAATAGCAGAGTCAGGGTTCGGCCCAGGTCCTTCTGCCTCCAGAACAAGTATTGACTTGTCAGAGTCAGTCCTCAAATTGTTTCCTCTTGGAAAACAACTTGATAATATGCATCAAGAGCAACAAAAGTGCGAGGAATCTATTTGAAGCAAATAGCCCCAAATTGTCCAACAATAATGAGATGGCTACAAAAATATGAAGACTTAAAGTTGTTAGCAGATAACAGTGTTATTTAAAAGGGCAGGTAACACAACGTTGTAAATCAGCTATACTCCAATTAAAAATTTCTTTTTAAATAAAAGAGCAGAATACTCAATAATGTGTGCCCTGTAGTTGCAACTATATTTATATAAGATAAAAAAATGCTGGAAGGAAATACAACAAAATGCCTGTAAGTTAAAGAATTGTGGGTGATACTTTTTTCTATTTATCCAAAATGCCTGTTTTTTTATATCTATTTTTTAATTATTTAAAATGTTTGTGTGTAAATGAAATACATTATTTAATATGACCAAGGCAAGTATGGATCGGCCTGCCCTCCTGATAAACTCCAGTGAGACTGGGAACACTGGGGGTGTTTAGAAGTCCCTAACCATCGGAGGACAGTGTCAGAGAGGGCAGTCCTGCCCATCCCAGGGGCCCCAGTGCCTGGCAGAGGAATTCTCACTGGAATGGACCACAGGGCTGGTCTCAAATTGCTTATTGCTTTCAAATAAGCAAGATGACCTCTTTGGGCCACTGTTCCATGCCTTGTGAGGAAGGTACTTAATGTACCCAGGCACCTGTCTTTTCTTCAGTTCTTTCTAGAACTCTGCCCCTAGAGGTGTGATAAAACCTTTTCTTCCCCAACCCCATTTCCAGGCCCCATTGGCCCAGCTGGTCTCCCAGGACAGCAAGGTATGTCACACCCTGAAAGAACGCATGACTGTAGGCTGTGGAGAGCTTCCTTCCTGGGGTGGCCCTGCACCCCATCTTTAAGTGAGAGATGTGCATGTTGGGAAGGGAGGTGAGGGGCCACCAGGCTCTTCTCCAAGGCCCCGGCAAGGCCTCCGTAGCCAGAGGAGACACCTCCTCCCACCTTCTTCCATGCTTCTGAGAAGGTAGGGATCCTCCCGAAAGGGAGATTGAGGCTCTTGGGTCAGGATCAAGCTCAGCTATCTTCACAGGCCTCAGGCCTCTGGTGACCAGATCCTGAGAATCGTGTCACTGTCCAGCAACTTATCCAAATATCAAAAAACGGACTCCAGGTCCTCCTGGGATGTGTCTCGTTCCCAGCCAACACTCCGGCCCCGCCCACAGTCAGCTCAGCCCCGCCCACAGTCAGCTCCGCTTGGCCCTGCCCCACCCCGAGCACCTGGGCGGCTCCAGAGAGAAAGCACTGACAGCTGCAGGCGGTGTCCCCCAACTCTGTGTCCTCCCCACAGGCCCGCGAGGGGAGCCAGGACTTCCTGGTGAATCGTTCATGGGCAGCAGCAGCTCCATCTCTGAGGTCCTCTCCGCCCGTGAGTGCCACCGTGTTCTCCGGGACAGGTGACACAGGGGTGGGAGTGGGAGAGGTGGCCATGTACTGGGGCCTGCGGCAGCTGCACCAGTGAGTCATCGTAAGCCCCAGTGTAAGGATGGCCAGTTCCTCTGAAACGCAGTGCTCGCTGAGAAGGAACAGCAGGGGTTTTATCAGCTGTGGAGGATGAGTCACAGGGGATGGCACAGCTGTCAGAGAGGCTCTCCGGATTCCAGGAGGACCAGGGTCACATGAGGCCTCTGAACCCAGCCCTGTGAGTGTGACTGGAGGAGTCCTGAATCCCCCACACCATGAATAACGACGAGGGTCCCTGGGTTCTCAGCCACAGGCCCGGCCTAGGAGCGCTGACTCCTGGGTCCTCCGGTTCCCAGAGTCCTTTAAAGAACCCGGGCAGAGATGCCGCTGGGCCTCCCACCTGGGCACCTGGACACTTGAACAGCAAAGACAACGCCAGCCCTGGTCTAACAGTCACCATGTGCCAGGCGCTGTGCCTTGTCGTCCCACCGAGTCTGCACAAGGCCCTTGTGATGTAGATCTTGCGCCTCTGGTTTACAGTGGAGGAAGCTGAGGCTGAAAGGTCAGGAACTTGCCCACAAGCTGGCAGTGATGAGGCAGGATTTGAACTCAGGCTGTCTGACACCGAAGCCATGCTCTTAATCATCACTGCACACCCCCATCAGCCACCAGGGAGCTCGACTCAGCCCTGCCCTGCCTCTGAGCAAAAGGCATCTCTAGCAGAGGGGGTCTTGGAGGGTCCTGTGCCATGACCCATGACCCATGGCCTGGTGTGTGGGTGTGAGCACAAGGACCGAGGATCCTGGTGAGGGGTGAGGCTGGCGGAGAGCAGCCTCATGACAGCTTTTGCTCATTTCTGGTTTCTCCTTTCCACAGAGGGTCTTGATTTACGAGGTCCCCAAGGCCCACCTGGACCACCTGGGCCACCAGGTGAGCACCTCAGGGATCTTTGGAAGGTGGGGAATCTTGGGGGCAGGGGGCTCAAGGCACTTAGTGAGGAAGCCAAGATCCTGGGTTCAGCATTGCCTCTTCCTCACCCTCTTCTACAGGACCATCCATTCCAGGACCCCCAGGACCCCGAGGCCCAGCAGGTGAGAGCTGAGCAATGGGAGATGAGAGACGATGGGACCCAGAGCCCAGGCTTCTTCCGGGCCAGCTCTTAGGAAAGAGCTTCTCTGTCACTTCTGCTCCTGGGCAGAGTGTTCCTGGCCCACCTCTTGGCATTAATAGGTCTTGGGTGCTCTCTTATCTAGGGGAAGGCTTGCCAGGCCCACCAGGCCCACCAGGATCTCTCCTGACCAGCTCAGGTAATGCTGGGGAGTCAAGTCGCTCCTGTTCTCTACCTCAGCCCCAGCCCCAGCACATGCCATGGTCATGGGCACACAGCCTTTCTGACCTACTCACCATGTTTCTCCTTCTGACTTTCCACCGTGAGTGTGTTTGCATAAACTCCATGCTACCTGTTGCGTGGAGAGAAGGTAACTGATGCCAATCCAGCCACCCTGAGAATCCCTGGTTGCCTAGCCTGGGGGAGATCTGCCTTTGGGAAGCTTCTGGGCCAACTGGGGAGACCTAGTTCCTGTCCTCAGGGAGCCCAGCTCTGATAAAGTAGATAGGACACATGCTCATGAAATGAGATAAATGCTGACAGTATAACATAGAAACATATGGAAATAACTTTAGAACATACTTTAGCCCAGAACTTGTCTCTAGTGGAAAATTCATCCATCCATCCATCTATCATCCACACTCAAAACTATTTCTTTCCTCTACAGAGACCTTCTTCTCTGGCCCTCCAGGCCCACCTGGCCCCCCAGGCCCCAAGGGAGAGCAAGGTGAGCACAGTGTCTTAGGGAGTGCAGGAGCCTGTGTGAACCCCAGCTGACCCAGCTGGTGGCCGGGAGAGTTCTGATGAGGCTGGATGAGCGGGCCTTCACCCTCCTGCCCTATCCCATTAGGAGCTCAGCAGCCTGCAGCAGGGCGTGGGGGGTGGTCGGAAGCTCCGCCACGAATATCCGCCTCTGCCTTGTCCTGATGGGAGGAGAGGCACGAGGGGCCCTGGAGCCCCGACCCCTTCCCCACGGACCCCTTGCAGTCACAGCATCTGGGTGGGACCTGTCTCATGACTGTCTTCTCCTCCAGGTGCCCCAGGCCCCCGAGGACACCAAGGTACAGTAGAACTGGCATCAAACAAACCTGGGGTAGGGGTGGGAGTGGCAAAGGCTGACCTTCCAAGATCCCTGAGCTTCTTGAGTTTGGTCCAGATGAGGGTAGATCAGAGTTTGTCTCTGATGGTTGAGAACTTACATGCGTGCGTGCGTGTGTGTGTGTGTGTGTGTGTGTGTGTGTGTGTGTGTGTGTGTGTCTGTGTCTGTGCGGCAGCTCTAGATACTACCCAAGGGCCGGTGCTGTCCCAGCCATCATGAATCTTGGGGAGCCTTGGGAGGGAGGTGGTGTCTTGGGC